AGGAACAGACAAAGCATTTAAATTCCAGACCCCCACTGAACGATCTCTTGAACCTGAAATGCACAGCTCTCCACCCCTCATCACATGAACTGTATCTACTGTGGCAAAGTGCTGATCTTTAAGCTCATAAAAATCCAGAGACGCCACAGGATCTTGCCAAAATGCATCCATGTCTTCATGTTGGACACATATTCTCTTCCAACTATAACAAATTTAATGATAAAATTAATAAAATCTTACTAACATGTTTAACGTAGTTGAAACAGTGTGTATATCTCCACTATACAATGACCTTTCAAGTAAAATTTCAAAGGTTTCTAGAGGTTTCAAGACTTTCAGCATTTTAGATTGATAACGGCTTACAACTCTAAACAAAATTGACATGTGCACTGCCATCTTGAACTAAAGACAAGATGGAGGTCATTCCTTTCAAACACAAAATGTGGTTCTATAAGTTTGGTTGTCTAGCGTCCCTGATGGATCAGCTCACTGAAAAGAAAAGACCTCATCTTACAAATATTACAAAAACAGGAAAAAGAAAAGCACCTCTTAATGAAAATCCTGAAAGAGAAAAATACTCAGTCACATGAAACTGTTTGCATGATTTCCAACTTTCAATCCTCTCTAAAAGCCTTAACCCTTTACACCTTCACATCAGTATGTCTATTCTCCATACTGTTCTCTATACATTTCCTAAAGTGAGGACAAGGAGAATTTGCTTAACAATCAAGAGCTTCTTTGGTTGCTGATCATTTCCTTTATTCTCACGACCTTGATGTTTAATTCAGGGTAACATTGTAAGGAGAAATTAGATGCCAGTCACTCTCAAAGGTCAAAGGGTTAAGCTATGCATGTAGCCAAAAAATTTATCACCACAAAATTTGTGCAGATAAGATTGATAAAAAGTACTGGGATCAATATCAGTATCTGGGAAACTGCCCACCTACCCCACCCCTAACCCAACATTACCCTAAGTTGTTATCAATTGATTGTTGTTGAGTTAGGGGAGGGGTAGGTGGGCAGTTGCCCAGATACTAATATTGATCCAAGTACTATAGCCTAAAAGAAATCTGTGCCATTTTTTACACCAGTGCTGCTTAAGACTAGTGTTAAACATGTACAAGACTTTGAAATAAACCAAGGTGTACAAAAGCGAGAGAAGTGTAACTAAAGAGAAGAGGAAAAAGAACTGCTTCCTCTCAGTTTTCATTTTAAATTTGTTGACTTTGTAGTAGAAAAATCAGGATGAAATATCTTTTTGCCAATCTGTGTATCCTAAATATGTACTTGTACTAATAATCAAATTTTGCAGCTAAAGAGAGAGATTTCCTTTTTGCAAAGTAATTTAGGCCAATTCTGTCTTAAAAACCACAAGTCAGAGGAGTAGAATGATAAAATTAGCTACATGCAACTTGCCCAAATAAAAGAAAAAAGAAAAAGAAAAAATCACTAAAGCCACGTAGATAAACCATCTTTTAAAATATACAGTAAGTAATAAAATTAGACAAATATTTTAAATAATTAAGATCATGTTACTAACCTTGTCACATAGTCATAATCTTCTCTTTTATCTCTCTGTGGCCATCTTTTTCCAAACCTTGTCTTCCAACTAGACTCAGGAGATAGCAGATGATGAAAAAGTTTACAGACACCTGTCAACACACTTAGTGCAAACCGTGCATCAAGGTATGAAAAAATCACAAGAATCAACTCTGGTGGAAGACCTGCCAGAGATAAAGAATTCCATTGTCTATTGTCAGTTGTACAAGTGTCAACAGAAGTTTCAACGCTGTCTCCTTCATCTGTAACTTTTACCATTACATCTGGAGAACAGAAGGCTGGATCACAATTGGTACAGTTTCCACCACAACTTAACTTCATATTTTCTCTGGTTATTGAATTTTTGCTGTCTTCTAGTGAATAATCTTGGAAGCAATTTAGTTGGTGTTCTTTATCCATTTCACCTCCACTCTGTACAGTGCCATCACAATGACAACCTCCGTTGTAACCCTCAACATCCATTAAGCTGTTCCAAAAACAAGGAATATTAATTTTATAATTTCAACCAGGCACATACAGAACTAAATTGAATCAATCGATATAACACTTCTACATCACCCTCCCATGAGCCCAAAATGAAAAGTTCAAGACAAATGAATTTTTAAGTAAGGCAAGGGCAGAGAGATTTGAAGTTTCCCTTTTAAATATGTGAAGTGTGAAATGCTGTTTAAAGTGCTTGTCACTCGTGAAATTTCTAAATTTGTACATGAAATGGGATCAGGACTCCCATCCCTTTGCCAGCCTCTTATAAGCAGTAATATTAACTAAAGGCTTCAGCTGAAATTTTTTCAAAGTTAACAATTGTTTTCCATAAATCACTAATGGGTCACCAGAAATAAAAGTTTAGTTGCCAGGAAAAAAAATCTGGCAATCTTTCTTGGAGTACCATAGGATATCACAAAGTTTAAGAATCCTACAACTAAGGACAATATTATTATAATATAAACTGTAACCCAGCTACTTGAACCCCCAAGGGAAAGAAAAAATTATTTGATTCAGCAGGGGTTTGAGTTTGCTGATAGTAAATGACTGAAAAATGGACTCAAGGTAAACTGGATCTTGTGCAAGTTACCCAGGGGTTTGAGTAACCAAGTTTGATTTTGATTTTTGATTTTTCCACTGTATTGTAAATATTGTATTAATCAACCCAAACTATCTCAGGAAAAAAGTAAGAAAAAGTTCAGTTAATTCACTTTAGCTGGCCACAAGACCACTTAACACTTAATATCCAAGATGCATATTCTCCATACTGTTCTCTTTATATTCCCTAAGATGTTCTCAGGGAGAATTTATTTAACAATCAAGAGCCTCTTTAGTTGGTGGTCATTTCCTTTATTTTTGTGACCCTAATGTTAGAATCAGAGGTCATATTTTTGAGAGAAATTAGATGTTGGTAACTCTAACAGGTCAAAGGGTTTTAAAATAATAATTCTTGAAAGCTTTAAGTATGTAATCTTTTTATTCAAAGAAAAGCTTTCCAAGGAAACATCGGAATATAAAATTTTTAAAGACCTTTCATTGTTTTTAAACTATTTTCAAGTCAGTTTTAGTCATAATTGTCTGATTTTTGTCTTCTTTAAATTTGACAAGCTTTCTGTAAAAATGACATAGAGGTTTCCTGGCACTTGTTACAAGTGGTCAAAAGTAACAGAAATTAAGGATGAGGGTTCTACCTGTTCAAAAATATAGAGTGCATGGTATAGAATATATATTTCTAAAGGTTTCCTAATGATGCTGCCCTTTGTTTTTGAGAAAGAACACATGCAAAATTCTCTATGTTTCTCAAAGCTCTTTTTGATACTCTTTTGTTGAACAAGAAACAAAGAAAGCTTTGTCTTCTTTAAACAAGGAGGGCAGCCTCAAGAGGTTTTTGTGACAGTTATCTTTGGAAAGGAAGAAAAAAACAGCAAGAAATTTTAAGAAATTTCTCAAGAATTAGATTCCCCTTAAGTCAAACAAAAGCCCTGAAGCCAAAATATCTGATCAATTTGTTCTCAAAAAAAAAGTTTCTAAACAAAGAAGCTTCAAGAAATAGAGAAACTATCCCCAGGCTAGACCTAGGCAGTTTTCAATAATTTTTCAATAAGCTGTGCCATCAAAGGTGTAATAGGTAGCTGTGCCTGAGAAGGAAGTGTAAGGCAAAACCTTAACATGAGGGCCAGTTATTACAGACTAAATATACAGCACTAAGTGGTCTTCAAGGAGGCAGTAGACCACCAGCAACTGGCTTTTTCTTGAAAACCTCTTTTAAACCATGGGCCAAATATAAATTATTTTTGTTGCATCCTTTATAGATGTTGACAAAAATTGTTCCTACTTTGCATCATAAAGCAAACTCAAGAGGAAGCTATTAAATATAACTTACACCTGGGGAGAGATTAAACATGGTAAACTTCTTTCTAAGTGTAAGCTGTCTACATATTGGCTCTTGTTCATTAATTTTGATGTAAATATAAAACACTCTCCGGCAAATTCATTCTTTTTTATGTTCGGCAGAATGATGTAGCAGTAAGAAATCCACCATCACAATAGAGAAATGAAAATTTAAGATATAATTATAAAATACACCAAATGATGGCCCATCAGGTTATAGGACATCAAAACATTTCGCCAAAAATAATTAGTCCCTAATTATCTGGGCTGAAATAAAAATAATTTTCTCTCAAAAGGTGGACACATAATTAATCAAAAATTTATTACAATTCAGACATTTGGCTCAGGCTTGAGTTTGCGTGCGTTCGATTAATTTCGTTCAAAGGTTGTCACGAGGTAATATATTTAGTGCGTCACGGCCTATTTGGTTTATACTAGAGATCTTATATTAGCTGTACTGAAAATTAACCGATTGAAAATCTGATTGGTTTTTATCAAAATCCACTTGACTGTACTGTCATAGACATTTCGAAAAAACTTGTTTTTTTTTTCCTCACGTGGAGGTTTTAAATATTTCCAACCGCAAAAATACATCTGGAAGATAAACATTCTGAACTAACCGACACATATCTGTCTTTCACGATCGCGGGTGTATTTGCTTTAAAAAGGGCTTTTCGGAACGACATGATTTCCGGTAATGTTCGCCACAATTTTTAATCAACTTACCTTTCAAAAAAATATTATAACAGCAGTCAACTGACGTTACATCTTTCATGAGCCTCTATTCAACGAAACAAACAAAAGAAACCATCTCGAACAACCGATTCACCTGTATTCTTTAAAGTCCGAAAAATGTAAGGCGCTCAAAAAGATATGAGAGAACACTGGTGACTACACTAGGAGTTACATTCCGAATGATGACGACTGTTTACCGAAGCTTGACGAGACTTTGTCCTTGATATTCTCACTGCACTATATCTAGTCGGATTTCGTCGTAAGTGTCTCCGGAGAAGATGACTTAGCAGTTTGTCCAGTCCTCTCTCCTCACTGTAAACAAGTCTGATTACACAACGGCACCGCAAAGCCTTCAGCAAAGCAGGAAGATATCAGTGTCAACATAGCCTGGAAAGCCTACGATCATATTTTTCTCTTTAGCGGCCGAAAAATCCCAAACTTTAGCAGCTAAAGTTTTAGCTGTCTTTGGGTTTCCAAAATATTGGGAAATCTTGATGGGAGAGGGGAAAAAATAGCGTTAAAAGTTTGGTAACGCAAAATCCCTCGCGTTTCGTGAGAGGTAAGTTGGGTTAATTCTTGGAAAACAGAGTTTTCCTCTTCACATTTTTACTGTTTCAGTTTCATGTGATTACGTAACGATATTCAAATACGTTTGTTTTTAGGCCACAGAGTTAGGATTAAAATCGTTTGGTCCTTGTCGGCCGCATCGTCTGACAATGAAGTTCTTGGACCAACTCAAATTACTCGTATGGAAAAACTTTACGCTTCGAAAGCGTCAGCACGTAAGTATTAAACAGAAATACACACCTATTAATGACATTTTTTCATAGCGTGCCTGATGTTTTGTTCATCGAGGATATGATGTGGATGGATGCCTAAGTTTCTTGCAGGGAAAAAAATTTAAACCCTTTGCTTTATTTTCATTCTTTGGAGCAGCTGCGTTCCTTGCAAACTATCGATCGCCACAGGTACCTGCGTTCGTTACCTTGGGTTCTTGTTTCGTCAGAAATTGTCGTCCTTTTTGTGTAAGAAAGTCGCAGATTATCTCTCTTGCCTTACAGCTGTGATGAGCTCGTTTCAAGACACTTTTTTGAACACATGACTTAAGAATGCGAAAGATGTTGTAAAGTGAGGATTCGTTCTAGTAATTTTGTGCGATTTTCACTTTAGTACCTTTCTTGTTTTGGCGTTTCTGTCAATTAGATCAAAGCTCTTTGTTTACAACTTGAGCGAGACTTGTATGTCGGCGAAGCAGTGTCATTTTTATTCGTTCCATATCGTATATTTTATTTAGGAAAATTAAACTTTGGAAGTTGAAGTTTCCGAGTAAAGGATTTAGGCGTTTTTCCTCGTGCACCGTCCATTTCAGGACTGTGACGTACCAAATATATCAAATGACGTATATTTGGACAAATATTGCAAACCGCTTTCGATTTACCTTCTACGAAATGTTTTACCATTATTCTCAATTGCTTAGCGACTCAGGGTAAAGTTTTTAAAGGAAAAAACTTTCATCGATTTTAACTTTAACTCGGTGAAAATAGATTACATATTGACTAACTGAGCCGAAAATCTGCAACTCGCCACTGTGATGGAACAGTTTGACTATTGAAAACCAGACCAGTTAATCCCGTCCTTGCTTGAAGGAAGTTGCTTTAGTTAAAATCAAATCTTGGATTTTACTTTTTTAGAGAGGAAAAACGTACCAGTACCAGTAAAATACCAACTGAGTATTCCAACAGCCTTTTATCATAGCATTCTTGAAGTATTGCTCTCTGCATATTCATGATAAACTCACTTCAACCAACTTAGAGTTGAGAGGCGTTAATTCCATGAAATTTCTTAAATAAAGGTGTGGGCACCCAGAGCCATAAAGTTAATTGGCGGTTGATTTATCAAATATTGAAAGATTGACAAGTTTTGAGTTCTTTTTCAATTTTTTTTTTTGGTCCTTGATTTAGCAGATGTTTTTTGTGTTAGCTTGCATGCTATGCCACTTGAACCCCTTCCTGTTGTGGAACTGAAAGAGAGAGCAAAAGCGGAAAGATGGGAGAAAAGATAAAGAAGTAGATATTGCACTTTAGTTTTTATGAAAGTCTTTCTTGGGTGAAAAAATTGACTGAAATATGGTCAGCAATGACTTGTTAGTGTAAATGATAAGATAGTATTACTGACTTTTTAAGGATATGACATTCTAGAATGTGTAAGATTTATTAGCAGTCACTCAAAGAAGTTGCTTAAGGAGGAAGACATCCTGATCATGCTTGAACTATTGTGGATACTAGTTCATCTATGTTCCTCTTCATTAACACTTTTTAAAAATATGTTCTACTACTTGAATGGTGGAGTTTAGGGTGCAGTTGTCTCAGGTGTAATCCCAAATCATTTCTATTTGTAAGCAACACAAACAATGTTTATATTGTGATGCTATAGTAATGAAACATTGATGATTGTTAATGATAACAAACTATAATTACTATGTGGTACAAATAATTCCTTGACATGAAAGTTTAAAAGTAATCGTTCTCTTTCTAGATCAGTATATATGTGTATATATGTAAATGAATGTGGGGGTAAAGTTTACCTTGGCATTAAGTGCTCAATGCTGTGGTAACAGAGCTAAGTATACAGAAGTTAAAGAATTAAAGAGGACACATTGATTCTCTGTGACTCTGAGTTTTGTGCCTAAGTGCTCGTCAGACAGAACTTAGGAACTTCGCTTAAGCACAAAACTCAGAGTCATAGAGAATTGATGCATTCTCTTTAACTTTTTAACTTATGTGTGTATATATATGTATATATATGTATATATATATATATATATATATATATATATATATTTAGATAGATAGATAGATATCTGATACAGTAGCAAATGAAAAATATGAAGGTTTGAATTATTAGCTGAGGAAAAGATTGGACCATGATGTGTACATTTATCGTTTGTACTAATACAATATTCTTAAGGTTTAGTCTATAAAAATATTTACAAAGTTTTCAATACATACCTTTACTGTTTTGGAATGTTACTTTCATTTTAAGGACTGCTTGGGTTAAATTTTAGTTTTAACTAATTGTCTAGTATGAATCATTGTAACGCAAAATGTTTACAAAAACTAAAGGAATCTATTCATAATTATTCTAGATAAAAGTGGCCCTAACTTGTGCTTTGACTGATTTAAACCCCTGTGTCGAAGATCAACCTAGTACTGTTGCCCTTGGCTGATATTCATAAGAAAGACACACTTGTACAATGTACTTGTATGCCAGCTGATATTTCACAATTATGCCCTCTGTCAGTGTGCCTTTTGGCCATAAACTGTACATTATCAACAGTACTTCTCTGAAATGCCTGATTAATAACTGTGTTTACTTTAATCCTAGGAATAAGTTTTGTCTCTGATTGATAAAGTAGTCTATTTTAGTGTAGATCCGTAACAAGGCAGCTGCATGTTTATAATCTTCTTTAGGTGATTAGGTTGACTGGTTTTCTGTCACCTTGTGAAGCATTAAGTTTTTTGTGGTTTAAGTCCAAGTTATCCAGGATAAACCTAGTTGACTATATCAAAGACACACATTTACCAGAATGCTTTTAACAATAAGGTTTTTTTTCATTCATTGCAATGGTGACTATTACCTTTTATTTTACCTTATATACATTATTCAACAAATAATTTGTAGATCACTCAATGGAACTGAAATTATGTTAAAAGCAGTATGCAGAAAAAAACACTGATTTAAATGTTGAAATGAGTACACTAAATGACCCTTGTTTTTTAATTTGAGGTTTTATAAAGATGTTATTAAGCAAATGATAGAACTACGTATATAATGTGCTAGTTAAAACTTAATCAACATTTAGTTATTGTTTGTCACGCATAATAATCACCACCCATAGATAATGCTTATCTTGTTTTGATGAATGTATTATATATTATGGAAATTAAGAGTTAAGTTGCAAGTATTAATTAACTGTTCCACTGTTTACTGATTTCAGCTGAGAAATTTGGTGGAAATTGTTTGGCCACTAGTGCTCTTTATAATTCTGGTTGCAATACGTAATCGTAAAAATTATGGTGCTACAAATATGCCTGATAGTAAGTATAAAATATTTTTACTCTGACCTTTAAATAATTATTTCACTTTACCAGACAGTGACATTCTGCGAGTTGTGATTCATGATTGAAATATTTTCAATTGAAACTTGGATAATTTTTATTTTAGAGTTTGATAATGTCATCAGACAATAGTAGAAGTAATTAAGAAAGATGTTTTTCGTCTTGTCACGAGTGTGGGACAAAGAAAAAGTAGTCAAACTGGTAAAAAAAAAAAAATTGAACTGAGCTGATACCATAAATTGGCCCTTGTTCAATGCCAAACACCTGAAATATCATTCAGCTTTTGAAACTATTTATAGTGGCCAATTTAAATATATCAACTCGGTTGATAAAACCACAATAGCTTGTTATACCCCCCACTGAAACAGTGCCACAGTTTTTATTACTAGAGACTTATCCCCATAAAATATTTTTATTTACTCTGTTTTGTCAACTTTCAATGTTTTTTGTTTGTTCTTGTTCAATAGGTATTTACAGACCACGTGCACTTCCATCAGCTGGTTTTTTCCCATTTGCAAGGTCATTTTTGTGTGACTTTAAAAACACAAAAACAAATGATCCTGATGAGCTGCTGAATGGATTGCCAAATCTGAGAAGTTCAAGGTAGGCAGGCATAATTATTTTGGTCTGGAACTACTAAGAGACAGACAAGTCTTACAGGGTTGTTGCCAAGTGCCCACTCCAGGCAAGTTGGCTGTCTGAAAAACAGTCCAAGGTGGCTGGATTTTGGTGCAGGATTACTCAGTAAGGAAAAATTTGCTGGCAAAATTTGCTTGCTCAGAAAGAGATGATAGCTGGCTGGAATTTTTGGGCAGCTGTTACTTAGTTTTATCAGAGTGGTATGACTGTTGTTGGGTAAGGGGAAGGGGTAAGTGTATAGTCGCTCAGACGCTGACATTGTTCAGATTTTGTGAATATGAAAGCCATCTTCGCAGTAATGAACACTACTTGAGCAGTAGTGAAAGTAAGGCCTGAATAAAAATTCAGGCCTTTATGGGAACTCATGACCTCTGTGATACCAATGCAGCACTCTGCCAACTGAGCTAACAAGCCAACTGGGAGCTGGTCATTATGTTGATTCCAAATAAACCAGTGAAATGGCAAATAAACGATTATGAATATATGAAAGTCGTATATATGAATTGCAGATTAATGTGTGAATATGAAAGCGATCTTCACAGTAATGTGTATTTATCACTTATGATCTGAGAAACAACTATACCCATACCTAAATTTTAAACCTACGCATATTTTAAAACATGCAGACTACATGTAGACAACTGTTAAACAAGCTTTTTACCAAATTAACTTGACACTGAGTTTCTTTTCATTTACAGTTTGGGTAGATTGATTGAGGATGCCCTTCCTCTTATGGCAAACAGCACAGTTAGAGAAAGAATTCTTAGAATTAATTCAGATCGCTCAAATTTTGAGAGGGATTATCAAGCTTGGTCTGACTTAGTGAGATCTAGGCAACTACAGTGGCGTGGATATAATCTATCAGGTATTGAAAATTCTTCAGCAACAAGAGCATACTGTCTTAAAAGATTAATCTGATATTGGATAAAATTTCCTGCAATAGAGCATCCTTTGTCATAAACAAGGTCTTTTTTAAGAAAATTTACTTGATATGCTCTGAGTCTCTTTACATCAACCTTTGTGCAGACATGATTATTTATTTGGACAAATCATTGTTCTCCCTTATCATGGGTAAATGAAATTTTCAAACTGGTAAAGCAATCCTTTTACCTGTTGTATTTTCAAGAATTTCTAACAGTTTTAGGCAGTAGTTACGAGAGGTCTAATAATTGCAAGATATAAATTTTACTGGTATTGCCTAAAAAGGAGAACATCGCAAATGTTACAGATGATAACAGTGTTTCCTTTTTTTTAATTAAAATTGTTAATAACTATTACTAACAATAACTTTAGTTTGGAATTACAGTATTATCTACATGTAGTGAACTGAAAAGGTAATAACTGAAAGCAACTGACAATGACTCTTAGTCACAAGGTAGTGAAGCTAATGTTGGACATCCCATCCTCTGGAATTTTCTGTACATTAGATTGCAGTTAGAGGAGTTGCATCATGTTGGACCTGGTGTGGATTTTAATAATTATTTTTATTTCTTTTATTTTATAGCTGTCCCACTTGACCAGTTACTGAAGGATCCTGCTGAATTTCAGGAATTTCTTTACAACAAAACTAATCTCAGCCCAAGAGTGATATCAGAGCTCTTAAGTAGCACAGTGAATGTGCAAAAGGTAAGCACATGTATGCTGTTGTTGGAAGCTGTGTCAAACTTTGGAATGCAGCACATTTTAGGTTTGAGTCATTGGTATATACCACATCAGCGAATAGTACTTTTTTGAGCACACTGATTGGCCAGTTCAGAAGTGAATAGCAAGTGCTATTCACCCTGAGTAGCGGATGTGACATAATCACGCCTAAAGAGTTTAATTTCCAACAATTTGTCAGTATGTTGAAAAATATAAACTTATTTTTTGGTATCTGTGTGGTATATAGTAAGAAATTATTCGCCTTAGTATTTGTAAAAGTGGTAGATATTTGCCTTGCTGCTTTGCAGCTTGGTAAATCCCCACCACTATTCACCTGATAATTTTTGTAACTCCATGATTAAAGTCTCCTCTTTCCTTGTAAGCCTGTGGGTTTGACCTTACTGTTTTAAACCTTGGCTACATGTTTCAGGATTGAAACATGTGGCCAGGGTTTGAAAAAATCTATGGAGGTTGAAAAATCCATGAGGCTCCAGTTGAGCTTACAAAGTAATCTGTTGTTTCAGGGGTGATTGTGAGGATTTACAACAACCTAATGTCCAAATAATTCAACTGACCTGTTCTTACACTTGCATGGAAACTGTTAAGCATCATCCCTCACTTGACACCTAACTACAGATAATTAGTAATAAAGCCCCTCTCCTTGACAATTCTTCAATAAGGGCTTAACCCTAAAAATTCTCATGAGTGACCAAGACAGAATTTCTCGTCATGATATCAATACGATATCAAGTAGAGAAGTAGTGAGGAAATATTTCAATGATGGAATACTTATAAGTTGATCCAATACCAAATTATCCAAACTTACATGGTAAGAATGGTATGGTGAACAGTAATGAGAATAACTAATGAGATCTTGGGAGTGTACAGGGTTGATACTGAGAATGCTGTGTTGGAGGGCCTTCTTTTTTGTCTTTTTCAGATTGCAGAATTTGCTCAGCCATATATGATGTCAACATCAGACTCATTATCATGGCCACCTCAAAATCCACTCAGCTACTTTCCATTCCTGTCATCTGGTGAAAGCCAACAAAGGAACTTACTTTGGGCTCTGCTTTTATGGAGAATTGAAGATAGTCTTAGGGTATGGAAAGAAAAAGTTGATTTTTATGTTTAGATTGTTTATTTTGTTTGGTGGAAGGTTTCTTGTTGTTGTTGTTGTTGTTGTTTTTTTTAAAATTTTTTTTACTTGTCTCCTCAATAGGTACTCAGATTTTTTGTAATTGTACCAAGTGCACACCAGACATCTTACATTTGTCAGATTAATTATTGTTCTTAATTAAAATTGAATGATTTATTAGTTACATTAAGTGTTAAATTTCAATTTTTAAAAGGAAAAGTTAGTGGTGAAGATAGAATTGTTCATCTGGAGTTTGAGTTTTGAGAATTCTCCAGCAACTTTGCAAAGGTGCTTGGTTAAATTTTGGTGTTCCAGGCAACTTTTTTATATATTCATAGTCATACAAAAAGAATATTCTTGCATTACTCTAAACAGTTTTGAATTGTTCCTGCTTCTAAATTTCCTATAACAAATGCCAGATTGTGCTATCCACTGGATAAATCACTTTGTGGAGGTTATCACAGAATTGTTTGTAAACACTTTACCCTTGGATAGCGATTTCTCTGTTAGATAGCATTATCTGCCCTTTGAACAACTTGGACCTGGAAAATTTCTGCTACATTCTAAAAATCTGCTTGGTACCTAATAGCAGTGATTTAACTTCAAATTTTCATGTTGTAATTTTGCAGTCTGAAGGAAGAGTCAGTGGCAGTCTTGTGAGGCAGGTCATCTGTGATGCTCAATCTCCAGTTAATCTTGGAGAAATTCTCAGTGGCCCTGGAAATGTGGTAGGTTGATTTAAGCAACTACTTGCTGTTAGTTGTAAATTGCACAAAGCTGATAGATGGGTAATTTTTTTTTATAGTATTATTTTACTAACTTACTGCTATGAAAGGATTGATTGCAGCAATTAATGAACCCTTTAACTCCCTTGGGTGACTAAGACAGAATTTCTCTTTACAATATCAAGACAATATCAACCAGATAAGTGCTGAGAATAAAGAAAAATATCAATTTGGGGATAATTAGTTGATCCAATACTAAATTCTCTGAACTAACATTATGAGAATTGTATGATTGACAGAAAGGAGAATTACAAATTTGATCTGGGAGGTAAAGGGTTAATTGAGTCAATGTTGCTCTGCATCTGTTCAGTGATCAGTTTATGTAAGAACAAAAATTGGCCCACGAGACACAGCCCTGTGTGTCAGTGATGTTCTTAATACATTTTGACATACTCTGTGATCCATTACTGTACTGACCCATGACAACATGGAATATTTTTTGTTTTATATGAAATCCATGCTTCTATCCTCCAATAGATCATGTGCAAGAACCAATCAAAAAGCATGTACAATTCAGCTTATGATATAGTTTAAATATTTTTTATTTTTGTTTTGAACATTGCAGACTGAGGTGAAGATGGCTTTGTGCAAACTGAATAACACTGTTCTTGGTGAACTTGGAAGTGAATTACAAACTCAGATCAAAGTGCCAAATGTCACTGACCTTCAGGTATTGTAACCCAAAACATTCCTCTTGACAAATGTTACTGTCTGTGCTACATTATTAATTTCAATAGTACACAAGGTAGAATCTACATGTAAAAGATGCTCAGAGAAAAGTTGCTGACAGAATGAGGATGCAATTTAAAGATGAGGATGCAATTGAAAGATTAGCAAAATGGGACTGTACTTTTTGAAGCCATAAGATGGTGACTCTATACCAAATAAAATTTATGATCTGTTGTAGCTTCCCAGAGACTTTCTTTAGACTTTTTACTTTCAGAAGTGATAATAACATGTAACTTCTTGCATTAATATACATACACTATCCAGCAAACAGGTAATGAAAACAATCAAACTCATCAGGTAGAAGTTGTTTTCTTGATTTAGAGGGGAGAATTAACAGTCTGGTATTGGGAGTTAAATTACTAAATCCTATTTGATGTTATTTAATTTGAATTTGTGTTTTTGTTTGTTTTATTAGAGTTACCGAGGAAATTTGACAGATGTGCTTAACTCCTTAACAAATGATTATCGGAATATTGCTGAAGATGTAAGTATATATTGACCTATATTTGATTAATGGCCTTCTTAATAATAATTGTATAAATTAGTTTCAGACATTCTTGCTCAGTGACCTGGTTGTATTGATATTATGGTATTGATAACACCACAATACTCTGAGTAATTCCATATGTATTCGTGATTCCAATCCATTCCATACAGTACTGCTTAAAAGTAAGTTGACAGCCCCTCAAAATTAGAGCCTTGTTTCTTAATTCTTGATTCTTAAAAACCTTTAGGATCAAGGCTCCAGTTGAGCTTCCAAAGTGATCTGCTGTTATTCTGTTGTTTCAAGGGTGACTGTGAGGATTTACAACAACCTAATGTCCAAAGACTTGAACTGAATCTTTCTTCCACTTGCATGGCAACTGTTGAGCATCATTCCTTACTTGACATCTGAGTACAAAATGACCATCATTCTTAAAACACTTGAAATAAACACTGCTGTCATCCTAGTCTCTTGCAACACTTTTACCACTTATTTACCCAGTTGTAACTCTTTACTAAACACCCTAACATCAGTTTGCATATTCTCCACACTTTTCTTGATACATTTCCTAAGGTGCTGACAAGGAGAATTTGTTTTCCAATCATAAGGTTCCTTCCCTGGTGACCATTTCCTTTATTCTCATGACCTTAATGTGTGATTTTAGGAGGGATATTGTAGGGAGAAATTAGATCCTAGTCACCCTAAGGGTTTAAAGGGTTAATTGTACTTGAATTCACTAGCAGAAAGTGGTTATTTAATTTGTAAGTAATTTGTAAGTAAGTAAGTAATGTCTTCATTTAATGAGGGTGACACATGATTGTTAAAAACATATAAGCTAGTGGCCCTCAAAAAAAATACGTATATATCTATACAAAAATTGAATAATTCATATATAGATTTAAGAATCAAATTTAAGTGGGTAATTCCAAAAATTTAAAAATATCATAAATACAGTAAAAAAGTTACATTTGATTAAAATCTGCAATCTTTCTTAAAATTTATTTCCAGGTTCAAGCCTTAGAATCCCTCTCTCAGGTCTCAAGGGACTATTTTTATCTTATGCAAGAATTTAATGACAGAGATAATGGTGGAGGTTTCCGAGAAACACTTTGTGGTAATGGTCGCAGTCTGCCTGAGGACGATGGTACTGGAAGTGGCGGTGGATCGAATGGAAGCCAGGGCCAAGGCTGGCAACAAGCCCCTCTTGGATTGTTGGCAGCCGCGTGTGGCCAAGATTTGCCGAATGGTACTTTTGATGATGTTCCACCTGGCGTCAATCCCATAGACTATTATTTGAACATGACGCAGAATATGAATTTGGCCCGATATGATGATGATGAAGAAGAAAATGCAAAAAGGAAAGCTGATGAAAAGTCTTGCTCAAATCTTACATCTGTTTACGACAAGTATAATGTCACTGGGGATAAGGGTGAGTGTTACTGCTTTTTCTTTGCTTATTTCTAGATAATTTGTTGAAGTTAACTCTCAAACAGGGCTTGGCGGTTTAACTTTGTCCAATCGTCGACTACAGGACGTTGCCATATTAATTTTTAAAGCTGTAAACGGCATTTTACCGGAATATGTAAGCGACTTGTTTGTCGTACGTAATAATGTGGCAAACTTTTGGGGGAAAACCAACAAGCTCGTCGTCTTACGTAAGAAAACTGCAAACTTTGGCTTAAAATTTACATCTTTTATTGGTGCCAATGTGTGGAATTCCTTTCCGGATGAATTGCGCTTAACGGCAATTCTTAAGGAATTTAAGAATGCCGTAAAAGCGCTTTGTCCATCGGTATTGCTTTACATACGAGTATCGTTTCCTCGAAACTACGAATGAAGATCCTCAAAAAGTTCTTTGATCGTGTCAATCCTCGATCTTTGATAGTTAAAGCATTATAATTAATTTAGTAGTATCAACCGAGTTGGTAACGTGAATTGGCCACCGTGAAGAGTTTCAAAGCTGACGTTTCGAGCGCAAGCCCCACGTCATTCGCCCTGACGATAGGCTAACGCTCGAAACTTCAGCTTGAAAAAATTCTGTACGGTGACCAATTTAAGTTATTAACTTAGTTGATTATATTTAATTAAACTGTTGTACTCTCTCACCGACGCAGCACCACAGTTTTGTCAGAAACTATATGAAACTATATGAAACTATATGAGACTATATGACGATTTTCTCGGTTTTTATGATACTTTCTTTCCAGACTCTTGTACAGTCATTGATCCAAAGTGGCGAGTTGACTGTGGTTGGCCAGGCATCTCAGCGGAACAATGCAAACGAAGGGGTTGCTGTTTTGATTCCTCGAAACCTGGAACTCGCTTCTGTTTCTACAAAGCTGGTATGTTTTACAAATCTAAAACTTAATTAAAGAAATCACAACGGCCAATGAGAACTCTGGGTGAAAACAACCATACAGCCTTAAGGGCGGGAAAGCGCGGGCGACCAAGTCGTGATTGGTTTTTTGTTTTGAATCTGATTGGTCAAGAGGGTGGCACGAATTCTCTGGACCAATTACAGAGCGAAAATAAAACCAACGTAATTGCTCTATATATCTATTTCCTTTTGGTGAATCGTCCAAGACGCTGTAAACTGTAAAGTTCCTAAATGTTAATATAGTGTTTCACTCAAAGCTAATCCCCTTTAATGTCTCGTTCACAGAGGACGCGGGATGTAACTGTTATTTGAACCAGTTCGTACGCAGTGTGGGCGGCGTAACCGGAAACGCAGGTCAAGGGGATAGAGACACGGGATTTGTTCAATTCAGCTCATTGTTCTTAAAGGGAAAGATCCTGTACACTCCTGATAACAATGTGACCCGTTATATCATTCAACAGGTGAGATTTTAATGTAGTCTTATAAAAGAGAAGTATGCTACTTAATGTATCCTAATAAGGATCAATGTCAGTAGCTGAGCAGCCACACAGCTGAGCAACCCCTCTCCTAACCCAACAGCAGTCAAATGATAACAAGCAAGGGTTGATGTTGGTTTAGGGGTAGGGTAGGTGGGAAGTTGCTCAGGTACTAGCATTGATCCGCTTAAACTGACTTCGGACGCCGCCATTTGGAAGTTTGCTCAGCAACCTGGTTTTTACCAACCAGCTCTTTCGGAAATTAGTGGTACCAGTTAGAAGCTTTCCACTTTAGCCATAGCAGGAGGTGTTTGCGAACTGCGCGTGGTGGTTTTTCGTGTGGAGTAGGCTATTCACTACACATCTGTGGGAATTATTACTTAAGTTTTAATCGGACTAATATATTACATGCTGTAATTTACAGATAAAGAATGAGCTGTCTGATATTACTCGGATACGAGACTTTGCCTCCTGGTGGGTGAATAATTCAGACTATATCCACAAGAGTGTTTTGAATTACACTAACCTGCTCAAGAGACCACTGGACTCGGTATGGAAAAATTGTTTAATTTTTTCTAGCTATAAACGCATTTCTTCCCTAGCTGGTTGACGGTTTAGCCTTCTTCTGGTATGCGATCCGGGTTAAGTGACCTGGGATTTCTTTGCTTTTTCTTAAATAATTTCGCTCTCTCGTTGGTCCAGAAAAGTCATGCCATCCTCTTAACCAATCAGATTCAAATCTAAAACCAATCACCGCTTGATCACTCACGATTTCCCGCGTTTCAGGCTGTTTACTGGGTTATGATTTGAGCGGCTCTGATTGGCTCCTGATAGATTTTTCTTTGTACTGATTGGCTGATGGGATTACCATTGGTTTCGTATACTCAATTGAAGTGTGCTCCGTAATTACACGAGTGATTGGAAAAATAAAATAATGGTTATAACAATAATAATAACGAGGAAAAAGTAAAAAGATGACGGCAAATTACTTGTTAATCAGCCAAATTATTTTAAAGCTGATTGGAGGAATTAAAGCCCTTTTACCAACTAATTCCCTTTTTTCACGAGAGAATCAACGGCGCGTGTGATTGACGTATACTACATGCAATTACACACACCTGTTGCGGAAACCGTCTGTCACCATACAAAGGGAAAAATAACAATATATTTCATCTAATTGTGATCACATTCCTTTGCGAGAGCAAAGAACCTACCTAAATTTGGTTTCCCTCTAACATGTAGCGTCGTAGCTCAGTTGTTAGTAACGCCCAAATAGTGTTTTTGAGGTACCGGTTCAAATCCCGTCGAAGCACGAATTTTTTCAAGTTTCTTTTCTGCAATTTCGGCTCACTTGTAAGGATCGTTTCTTTGCTTGGAGCAATAGGTCTTACGCATACTCATTTGACCAGCGGTTGTGGCTGTTAACGGATATTTCTATCTAGAAAGCTCGTTTTAAATTATATTTATGATGCGATCGTATATCTTCCTCCCTTTTTAGAGGATTTGTGAACTATCGAATGTCCTGAGAACTGGAGCAAACCCAGACTGGTCTGAGGTGTCTTTGAACTTGTTAAATTCTTCTGCTCGTCGTAACATTACGATAATACCAGAATCATTTAATGTCACCACTGTGCTGAATAGCTTGGATCAGTTGTTTGGAACGATCCTCAGAGTCTTTAAATGTGCATCGCATGAGTACTTTGAAGGCTATAAGGATGAAGATTCCTTGGTTAAACGTGCCATTAATACGTCTGAGGTACCAGCTATTGCAAGTAAGTTCGCAATTTTCTTTGCCGTTTTTCTTTTAGGTTACGATTGAGTATTTTTGCTCGTTAGTTAAGTAACGACTCCAGCTATGAACAATCGCGCTATCCCCCTCCTTGCTTAGCCCTTTGACCCCCCCCTAAGAATGACCAGCATCCAATTTCTCCTTACAGTATCACCCCTGAGTCAAACATTAAGGTCAGGAGAATAAAGGACATGATCACCACTTAAAGCAGCTCTTGATCGTTAAACGAATTCTCCTTGACAGCGCCTGAGGAAATGTAGAGAACAGTGTGAAGAATATGGATATTGATGTTAGGGTGCAAAGGGTGAAATGGAAAGTGGAAACCTTACGAAAAAAAGATGCTATCACTTTTTACACTTAAGTTTCCATCGTGCTTCATTCCACACAATGTCAGTACTCAAAAATTGACTCACAGTCAACACTTGCAAACTGAACTAAACATGAAGCCGTTGTGTGTTTACTGAAGATGGTTTGCTTTTTTTTTTTTTTTATTTTTTTAACAGGTTTAGTGTTTGAAGATTCTGTCGGCGACCTCGATAATGTTCCCAAGTTTATCAAGTACAAGATACGACAGGACGTGGATTATACCCCAGCTACAAACAGGATACGTCGTTGGTAAGTCCAGCGATTTGTTCATTTTTGAACTTCTTGAGGGAGCTACTTACCCTTTGAGTGGCAACCCAAAGGCAATTCGTATGAAGCCAAAGTTACATATTTTTTCTATGGACCGACTGGATGCTTTGTGTCTACATAGTATGAATCATTTTTTGACATGGGAAATATGACCTTTGAGCCCAAAGTACTGGATGTGATGGAAGTAGAACCTGCCCTTCCTCTTCACAAAGTGGGAGACACGGAGGCCTCGTGGCTAGTGCGATGAACTTCGGATTAAGAAGTCTTGGTTTCGCCCGGGCCAAGGCTCCTCGCATTTTGTTCTTGTTAACCCATTACACCCTGACATCAGTATGCATTTTCTCCATACTGTTCTCCGTACATTTCCTGAGGCACTGATGAGGAGAATTTGTTTATAAATCAAGAGCTTTTTAAATTGGTGATCATTTCTTGATTCCCGTTACTTAAATGAGTGGGTGACTTGAAGAAAAAATTGCCGGGGGGGTTTCTGTGATGGACAAGCTTTTAATCCAATTTGAGTTAGCAAAGTGTCCCTCTCCACTCAGGAGTATAAATAGGTACCAGTAACCTCCCCGGGAGACCTTAAAAAATTGTTGAGGGTGGGAGGGGAGGGTTGTAATGGAGTAGCATCTCATCCAATGAGAATTAGTAAAGTAGCTTTCTCCACCCCCCCGGTTTATAGATGGGCATCAGCGACCTCCCAGAGAGACTGTCACTTGGGGAAAAATATGGGGGGTTTCTGTGACAGACTAGCATTTCATCTAATGGGAACTAGAAATACTCCTTAGTTACTTGAAGTTTTGGGAACTGGGATGCGTTTCAGTGGTTTGAGCCTCGTCTACACGCAAATTCTTTCATTTCTGCTCTCAGGTATTGGCGCCCAGGCCCTCAAGATAGCTTCTTCAAACAGAGATACTTCAATTTTGGGTTTTTGTACTTGCAAGACTTGATTGATCGCGCTTTGATGAACATATTGCTGAATGAGACCATTGAGGAACCGGGAGTATACATGCAGGAGTTTCCTTATCCATGCTACGTCAAGGACAAGTGAGTTTATCGGAATTTACAGGTTATAATAGATTGTAGAAGGCGTTTCTCGTTCGAGAGTTATAGAACCACAGGGAAGTATCATAGTGAGGTAAAAAGGGTTCTCTGATTAAAAAAAAAAAGAATTAAGTGAAAAACATTTGCTCTCTGTTTCGTAGCCATTTTCAGCTTGTAAAACGGAGCGTGGTAATTAACTGCGCGATAGTAGTGGAGGAGTGAAAAGCCGAGGGAGGTTTGGTGTTGATCAAAACGCGACTCAACCCCAGCCTCCCTCGTTTTTTCACTCCGCTCCGTTTTGCCAACTGAACGCCTGGAAGAGGCTCGCTTTTCAGCGATTTATCGCATTTGATGGCGGTGTCATTAAGCCTTGGTAATCTGAGACGTGGTATTTAGTTCAATGCTTTTTGTGGCCTTTGTAACTGTAATTATTGTATCTTCAGGTTTGTATTCTATATCGGTGGCACAATGCCGTTGTTCATGACCCTGGCCTGGATATTCAGTGTGGCAATGATAATCAGAGGTGTTGTTCACGAGAAGGAACGGCGTCTTAAAGAAGTCATGAAGGTAACACCATCAAACTATCATTGATTACTTATAACATTCCTGGTCATTTCACGCGGATTCTCAGGCGACTGAAAAAAATTACGTCCTTGTCGGCAATCGATCCATGGATCAGCATACCACGTGAGGGAAGTGGCACTACTTTCATTTCTTCAGCTTTGAAACTCTTAAGGGTGGCCAATTTACATTATCAACTCAGTTGATAAAACCAAATTGTCTTGTTACACTCCTCCGCCGATGCAGCAACACTGTTTCTTTATAAAACTATCCCATTTATTTACTTATATCAGTCAGGATAAGCTCCCGTTGCTAATCTGGGCATACCTATTTTCAAAATTGCGCATCCTTATAAATCGACCATTATACTTCGATTGAAGTCAATTCTCGTTTCTGTTTTTTTAGGTAATGGGTCTTGGTAATGGTGTGCACTGGGTGGCTTGGTTCATTAACAGCTCGATTCTTATGGTCATCACAATAGCTTTACTTGTTGCTGTCCTGAAAGGCGGCAAGATCTTATGGCACAGTAATCCTGTGGTTATCTTCTTGTTCTTGTTCGTGTTCATGATCGCCACTATTATGATGTGTTTCTTGATCTCGGTGTTCTTCGCCCGAGCAAACTTGGCCGCAGCTTGTGGAGGAATCATCTTCTTTGTGACCTATTTACCTTATGTAGTGGTGCGGTGGTTCGAGCAGTATATGACTACGGGACAGAAAGCTATTGCGGTGAGTTTGATGTATTATAAATTTATAGAATATTTGGGATAGTACGCGCGCTCTCATTGGTCGATAATCGTGTTTAGAAAAGAGGTTGTAGACAAGGTTGTGACATGACGCTTTCATTTGACGAATTGTATTTTAGAAATATTTTCTAAAAGCAACAGAAGACTTTTTCTGTGTTTACGCAGCCTCTTTTCCACACTCGTGAGGTTGGGAGAATTGTCAAAATTGTTGCAAACCCTCGACTGCGTCTTGCATACCTTCCTTGAATTCTCCCACGCGCGTGACAAATGCAAAGCGTCTTTATCCATAATGTTATTTATCGATATCCCACAGAGTTTACTATCCACAACATCCTTTGGTGTCTGCTGCAATTACTTGGCGCGGTATGAAGAGCAGGGGGTTGGTGCCCAGTGGTCAAACTTCTTCTCGAGTCCTGTTTCAGGCGATGGTTTCAGTCTAGGTTATGCAATATGTATGATGATGATTGACGCTGTCATTTACGGCATCCTCACTTGGTACATAGAAGCTATTTTGCCAGGTGAGTGGTGTTTTCTAATTATATGTATTGACTAAGCTAAACGCTTTTAAGTAAGATGACACAACCATAACAGCCTGACTGGTTAACCCTTTAACTCCCAGAAGTGATTAACATGTAGCCTCTCCCTATAATATCCTTGCAATATTCTGTAAACAGTTAATGAGAATGCTCAAACTTATCAGGTTGAAGTTGTCATCTTGATCTGACACCAAATTCTCATAGCTTGTTCACAAGAAATTGTATAGCAGCTGGAAGGGAGAATCAACAATCAGATCTTGGGTTTTAAAGGGTTTAGGGGCCAATTCACTACATTTTTGGGATCACAGACGATTGTTTCAATTGAGTGTCGAAAGTAATCAGGGATTGCATTACTTTTTCTTTTCTTCGCTCAGTGATTGGTCAAGAAAACTTAGGCCACTCTTTCTACCAATTAGAAGCAAAGCTACCCCCAATCACGTGACACGGTCACCCGCTTTTTCCCGCGCTTTCAGCAGCAAGCTTGTTTTCACTTCGAGTTTTTATTGGCTCTTTACGTTATTTTGCTTTCTGCTGGTTGGTCTGTGCGATGACTTTGATTTTACTGTACGACACTCAATCAAATAGCGCTCCTAGAGAATTGGAAATCTTAAAGTAATATCTTGCTAATATAGCAAATTTCAAAGAGGTAGAGGTCGACTAAAATGAAACGATAAATATCTGAAGATAAAGAGATTAACCCGCATTGCAGATACAATCTTTGAAAATTTGTTTGAAAGGAACAAAACGCCACTGTCCCCCACTGAAGTGTAAAGCCACTTACTTACCACCAACCACTGGCGCGTATCGTCCACTAAATTAACACTTGATCATTTTTCTTATCCTTTCACCTTTACTAGGCTGATCGGTTTGAAACGATTTTACCCGTCAATATTAGACAGTGTGTGTGATATGCAAATCCGAGGTCTTTGGCTCGCCAAATTCTAATAACGCATCTGTTAGGAGATGTGCAGCAGTTACTAGAGATAATTACTAAACAAATCAGGAGCGTTGAAGTGTTAAGTAATCTTTCCACTGCGTGATTTCCACAGGTCAGTACGGTATTCCACGACCCTGGTACTTCCCATTCCAGAAGTCTTATTGGTTTGAAGTTGCCAACAAAAAGGTCTTGGAGGTTGATGCATCGGGTACACAGCGAGTAACCAGTCGCTCTGAAAGCAGAGGAGCGGTGTCCTACAGAAGTGATGTAAGTGGAGGAAGATGAGAAGGGAGGGGGTAGGGAAGGGGGGAATTGCAAGGGTGGACGGGAGAAAGGATGGAGGGAGGAGGGGATGGAGATAGGGAGAGAGAAGGTAAGGGGTGTGGGAGTAAGAGGGCTGCAAGGTTGGAAGAAAGGACGACGGGATGGATCAGGGGAGGGAGAAGGGTACGAAGGGGTGGAAGGGGCAAGGGTGGAAGAAAGGAGGGAGTTAAACAGGAGGTATTTCTTCAGCCTTCCTGAGCTCTACCTTCCCTTTGAATAAAAGGTTTTAGCAGGCTCACGTCTCTGTCGGTCTTTGCGCTGGTGTTTTTGTTTTCTTGCTCATCTATGAAGTCATCTATTGTTCCTTCAAGGAGAGTAAACTTTGGCACTTCTTACGTGTCTCTGATTGGACGAGCGATTTATTTTCACAGTCGTTCGCTTTTCTGATTGGTTGGTTGTGTATTTGGTACGAATTTTACGTGGGCTTTTTTTTCATGTCTAAATCTCGGTATGTATGAAATAAAAGATATTTAGACATGGGAAATCACTATGGACGGCGCATAAGCATTTAATAAAACGTAGTTAATAGGACATGTAAGATCTAGAAGCTTTTTCCTTTCTTTTCAGAGTGGAGGAATGGACGAAGTTGCCTTCCAAGACGAAGACAGGTGTAGTGTGACAGAGAAAGAACCCACTCAGCTCCCCTTAGGATGTTCAATCAAGAACTTGGTTAAGGTAAGGAAGGCTTAGCACTCCTCCCCTGAGGAGAAGTTTTGTGAATGAAATTCGCGGTAGGGTTGCCTAACATATATGGCAAGTCAGTGGGTTTCTACAGGAGATACGTGCATTAAGACTGGGAGAGAGAACTCGTGTATGTTTTTGTATATCTCTTCTAAACTTGGAAGCATCTCTAACCTGTGACCCCCAAGAGTGATTAGCACCTAAATTCTCCTTACAATATCACCCCTGAATCAAACATTAAGGTCATAAGAATAAAGGAAATGATCACCAAGTTAAGAAGCTTTTGATTGTCAAACAAATTCTCTTTGTCATCAGGTAGAAAATGTATATGGAACAGTATGGAGAATATGAATGTTAATGTTAATGTGTAAAGCCGGTTAACTCATTGTTTATCCTAGAAGTGGAAAGGACGCCTGTTAAATATGAAGCTATTATAAGCCTAACTCGCTAACTAATTCTCTGTACAACAGCTGGTGAAGATTTCGGCATTGGAGCTGCTTTATTTTTGTTAGTTTTATAGGGATGCATCTAAATTTAACTCCTTCCCGCTTTGGGTTTCTTTTATTTTTCTTATGCCAGATTTACAAAGATGGCAACAAAGTTGCGGTAGACGGATTGAGTCTCAACCTGTACCAAGGACAAATTACGTCATTTCTCGGCCATAATGGCGCTGGAAAAACTACTACAATGTCTGTATTGACCGGTTTGTTCCCCCCAACATCGGGTACTGCCATTGTTAACGGGTACGACATCCGAAAAGACATCGATTTGGTTCGAAAAAGCCTCGGAATCTGCCCACAATACAACGTTTTGTTTGATAATTTGACCGTGTCTGAACATCTGTGGTTCTATGCTTCGCTGAAGGGGATGCCTAAGGAAGATATCCCGGCCGAAGTTGAGAGGTAATTGACGACTCTAACTTACAGTTGTTATTGTACGGTGTGAGTTTTTTCCTCGTATTGTTATAACAGAGATTATAGACACATCAATAACAACATTGACAATGTTTCGAATATTATCGGTAACTCCACAACAACAACACGAACAGCAACAGCAAAAAAACGACACTTACCATTTCCGTGACTCTAACATAAAGGACACAAGTAAATCACGATTGGAGGAAGAAGCAACTGCCTAACCCTAACCCTAACCCTAAGCGCAAACTTCAGTTAGAACAAGAAAAGGAAAAACCCTCGCGCGATGAGGTTACTTTCCTTGTATATTCATGGCCGATATTAAGTTGTTATGTTGTTATGTATGATCACGATCAATCTCTGGTGTAGCAAATAAATGAATCTTTCAGGTAAACGGCAATTTAGCAATTGTAGAAAAGAAGCCAAGAGCAACGGGTTCGAACCCGTGGCTCTTAGATATTCATGCTATTGGTTTGTCATTCACGATTGATAGCGTTCACAACATGGTTATATGCCTCCTACGGACACGAAAACAATCGAAGAAAAAAGGGGTTTTTGGGAAAATACCACTTGGACTTTTCCCAGTGCTTTCGACCCCATGGTTATGTTTTTTATTGTTCTTCATAAGGGTTAATGTAATCAGTTAAATAATCTTTCCTTTTATTTCGTCAGATTCTTAAAAGATGTTGGCTTGGAGGATAAGAGACATGAATTATCTTCTTGTCTCTCTGGCGGAATGAAACGGAAACTCTCCGTGGCCATGGCCTTTGTAGCAGGCTCTAAAGTCGTCATCCTGGATGAGCCCACAGCTGGTGTGGACCCATACGCACGGCGAGGAATCTGGGACTTGCTTCTCTACTACAAAACAGGTACTGTATGTGTGACTGCTAGGATATTTCTCCATTCCAAAGCAAAATCTACGAATCTCAGACGGCATAGACAGTTATTATTAAGATCTTCGTAAACTGAACTTTCGTCTTTGATTGCTTTAGGCCGCACTGTGCTTCTCTCCACGCATCACATGGACGAGGCAGACATCTTGGGAGACAGAATCGCCATTATCTCACAGGGGAAGCTTCAGTGCTGTGGTTCTTCTTTGTTCCTCAAGGGACATTATGGCAACGGGTACTACATGACACTCACTAAGAAGGCTCCAGAGGAGAGGCCTGGTACGGCAAGGACCTTAAAGGACGTGACGTTAATGGGGTCGGGCCCTTCAACCGGGAGCTCTCTAGATGAAGGTCAAATTAGATTAAAGAGTCCAAGGGAATGTAGAGGTTATCAGTTGACTTTCAGGAGGCCAAAACTAAAACATTCGCAACAGCCAATCAGAACAAAGGAAAATATGACAAGAAGCCAATCGAAAGTCACAGAAAATCAAGTAAATTTTCTGAAGCATGCCGGGAAAAAAACCCGAGTGGGCAAGTCGCGTGTAGTTTTAGTTTGAATCTGATTTGTCGAGGAAGTGGCGCAAGGTTTCAGGACCAATCACAGAGCGAAGTAAGGCAAACCAAAGCAACCTAGTAATGCTTTCGACTCTCGATCAGATATTTAATGGAAAATGCTGGTGAAGTTTGTAAGGCAAACAATGACTTAGATTCCCTAAGTTAAGTAAGATTATCGTACTGTAAATTTTATTCAATATATCTGTTTGCTTATAATTGTCCGTCTAGAAGTGTATTGTATTTTTTCTTTCCTCAGGTGTTGGCATGGACTCATTGGACGCTTCAGAACAAGGGAGCCTCAATTCCGTGCCTGCAAAATCCTCCTCAGACCCCTCTCTGCATGTCACTGAAGTGTTCTGCAAGGAGTCAGCGGTAACTTCCTTCGTCAAGGCCTATATCCCCTCCGCTGAACTGATCGAGGACATTGGGTCCGAGCTAACTTACGTTCTGCCTACTGAGTTAGCTGGAGAAGGCCGCTTCCAGGATCTGTTTGAAGAGCTTGATAGAAACTTGGATAAACTACACATTGGTAGTTATGGCGTGTCAGATACCACTCTTGAAGAGGTAACGTTCTTGTAGTTTTTGAGAACACTGACTCCCAAGATATGAGTCGTAATTCTCGCTACAGGTCTCATATTTTTCCTTGTAAAATGTGTGAGAGAATTCGGTGTTAAATCAAGTCAATGTCTAGCGTGTGAAGTGGTCTATTCTCGTCGCCTATTTTCGGAATAATCTGTTGATACGTTTGGGAGAGGTTACTGTCTGATCAGCGCTGGAACCTGTGACTTGAGTAATCTTTCTCTAAAGTCCATAGTTAGGACGAAAATTGATCATGAGTGGAAGGTTAGTTAGAAAGAAAGATGTTGATCATGAGTGACCAACATCTAATTTCTCCTTACAGTAAGACTACTGTCTTGTTCATTAAGATCATGAGAATAAAGGAAATGGTCGCCAACCTAAGGAGCTTTGATTGTTTGACAAATTCTCCTTGTCGGTACCAAAGGAAATGTAAGAGAGCAGTATGGAGAATATATATATATATACTGGGTTAGGGTGTAAAGGGTTATCCAAACAGGATCAATATCAGTATGTGGGCAACGGCCCACCTACCCCTCCCCTAACCCAACATTCACCCTAACTTATTATCAATTGACTGTTGTTGGGTTAGGGGAGGGGTGGGTGGGCGGTTGCCCACATACTGATATTGATCCAAACGAGCTAACATTGAGTGGGTGTAAGTCTCATATGTTTTCTCCTGGTTTTAACTCAAAGGGGCCGTTTACCTACACAAGGTCCAGCCCAAACCACGGTTTTGTTTAATCAGTGGGCCTCAGGCTTTCTCTGTAAGAGGGATGATTTGATTAAATAAATGTTCTTTCATTGTTAGCTGTCGGCCATTTTGACATAGCTCCCAAAGATAAATGTTCTGATAAAAGGTCCAGCTAAATTTAGGATTGTTTTGGACGCGGTTTCTGGTATATAGCGGTTAAACTTTGTTTAAATAACCGGCGCAAAGATTTTACTAACATCTTTTTATAGCTACTATTTTGGCGACGGAGTTACAAGGGTTGAAACATTTTATTGTTATAACGTGACGCTCACCACTTTCTTCATTCTTTTATTTTTCCTAATCAGGTTTTCTTGAAAGTAGCCGAAGAAGCCAACGCCGAAGAAGAAGGTAAGACCACGAAGGTGTTTTTGCCTGTCAAGACTTGATCTCTCATTAATATGTGAATACGCCAACAATACTGCGCATGTGTAATGCTTTATTCTGTACAATTACGATGCGAAAAACACAAAAAAACACTGGGACCGTTTCGTCATAGCTTACATCAAACGAATCTTGTTTCTCCACTTTATATCTTCCCTGCGTCGCACAAACAGTCTTACCCCTATCTCATTCTTTAAACACCGGTTTTATTTGTTAAATTTAAACCACAACTTTTTATTTTGCAATTTTTGTTTTTCCATGATCACCAGACATGCTTGCCGCTGAGATGCCCAAACGCCGACCCAGTTTCCGCACTCAGTTGAGCCGCAGTTCAAGAATAAGCGACAGTTACAATGACAGAGAACAGCTATTGGCTGATGATAGTCTAGAATCAAATGGTGAGACTTGTAAACAACCAGTAACTGAACGATACTATTGCCCAGTCGCTATTTGTGTTTTGTGATCGAGAGAAGATTGGAGTTGAGTGGAAAGGGGCGCCCGAAGTCAAAGATAACCTTGTTCGCGGGCTCTCTTTCCTTCTCTTCCGAGGGGTACTGGGAAGGGAAGAAGCCACGAGAGCGAGGTTGAGATTAACCAAGCTAGTACTCAGTACGTACTTTATGTTTGGGGTACTTCAGTGGTTTTGTCTTTCTGTCACAGAGACTGCACTGATTTGAGTCAGACCTTGATCATTTTTTTCTATTTTTATTGTTTCCGTTGCTATTTGACATGATTCAACGTCAGGGTTGGAGAGAATATTCCATTTCGCTCGCAACGTTTTCTTTAATAGGGAAAAAAGTTTGGACAAGGTCTCTTTGGTTGCTGATGTCGCCAAAGTATCAGCCAGTGCCCTTTATTTTAAACATTTTTTTGACGTAATTGCTTTGAGAGGCTGGAAAATTTTGATAACTTCAGCACCGGAGGAAAACAATTTTAAACTGGGAGCTTCAAGAGAAATATATGGGGACATGGATTGACAGAACTGGAAAAGATCCAGCGAATTACATCTGGGTCAACCCTTAAAACTCCCTAAAAGATCAACATCTATCTTCTCCTTACAATTTCAATGCATTATCCAGGTCATGACAATTGGTAAACTTATCAGACAGGTTTTGTTATAGTGATACTGATATAACACCAAATTCTCATAACTTATGTGTAAGGAATCTTATAGCAGGGAGATGGGGTAATTTAAGAAGGATCACTGACTTATTTCATTTTAGCAGAGGACGACACCCCCTCTGTGTTGGATGCTCTGGATGGAGTTTACGACGGAGAAAAGAGACTGACAGGTGTCAAGTTACTGAAAGGACAATTCTGGGCTCTGCTAGTTAAACGGTTCCATCATACCAGAAGAAATCGGAAAGGATTCGTTTCTCAGGTAGAACTATTATTAATGGAAAAGCAACTGTTGTGAAAGCCGAAATATTTCTGTGTTAGATCCATTTTTTGATCGATTGTTGTAAAACCCAAAACCAAAAAATCTTAACGACCAATCAGAGCAATGGAGAATATCGCGAGGAGCCAATGAGAAATCGAAGAAAAAGAAAGCGGATCAATACCTACCCCTCCCCTGGTTCAACAACAATCAACTGTTATAAAGTTAGTGTAATTGTTGGGTTAGGGGAGGGGAGGGGTAGGTGCACAGTTGCTCCAATACTGACTTTGTTCAAGAAAGCTCACTGCCTGAAAAGCGGGATAATGCGAGTGGCAAAGTTTTAGCTAGTTTTAATTTTTTCCTCATCGGTTGAGAGGGAGACGCGAATGACTCATGACAGAGTGAAGTAAACACAGACAAATGCATTCACAGAATGCTTTCGACACTAAACTGAAAACTGCTTGAGATTGAAGGTTTTTGGAGCTAACCGTTCATGGAACTTCGGTATTACGACTGAGTCTGTCGTTCGTTTTTTCAGATTCTGCTACCTGCTTTCTTTGTCTGCCTGGCCATGCTCGTGTCACAGATCAGACCAGTTTCAGAGATGCCAGCACTTGAACTGAACACCGACATGTTCTTAGACCTCGATCCACATGAGCATTACTTGGCGTTTGCTTTGGATGACAATGGAAAGTCAGTTTTGACGCAAAACATGATGGATATGCTGGTGCAGTATCCGGGAGTTGGTGAGTTGAATAATCGACCTCCGTTATCAGCTTCCAAAATATATAGATTTGCAGCAGTATACGGGGGCAACATGCGTGGCCTATCACGTTACAGGATTTTGTACCGTCTTTAACATTACTCTTCACTGCTTTAGGGACGTCCTGTTTGGAAAATTCCTGTAAAAGAAAACCAATAAAATTCAGTCCGGCTCCAAAAGAAAATGTCAGTACTTTACAATGTGACTGTCGATCAACCGGAACTGCAAAATGTCCCGCGGGTGCCGGCGGCCCTAGGCCTTCTCAGTGGCAGTCGTTTACTGGTGACAGGCTACAGAACTTGACTGGGCGCAATATGACGGACTATCTGCTCAAGACGTATCACAATTTTATTCGAAAGAGGTAGGGATTCTATTGCGTTTGATGTTATTGCCATGCAGCCAAATGTTAAAGGTCCTGTGCTGCCAGCAGTGATCTTTTTTGTCGTTCGATTACACCTTCGGTACAAACCAAAATGACGTCTTGGACTTCTTAAGCTTCCTGGCAAAGGCAGTGTCAATCTTTATATAATTTTCGTGTGCAAGACCTCGAAGGGAACAACATGACAGGTCTGGTTGTAGTAAAGGGTTAGGAATTTCGTGGCGTTTTTGCGTTTTTGCGGTGTCCTATACTGCTACCCATGTCTTTTGTCGTCGCTAGTTCAGCCCTTCAGTGCTATTTTGATTGACGTCATTTGTGCACAAAGTTCCGCAGAAAGGCAGCACACTCCTCAAGTTATGTTTGTGTATTAGGTATCCTAGAGAATGACATTCTCTCCCGAAGTTTTCCGTGCTCATGACATATCTGATAGCAATACAGGCGAACTCGCTTCGAAGTCATTAATAACGCTTTGTCCCGTGGTAAGGAAGAATGATGGTTGGACTGAGATCGGGATTGGTGCTTTGTAAACTACCATAGTAATGCACAGGTGTCAAGAACTGAATTCATAAGCGGCTGTGCCCGAAAAGGGGCCTCAAGGCGAAACCTAACTCGAACCTGCGAGCAGATAGACCAGCGGTGAAGTGGCTTCTTTTGAAACCCCTGATTTTATAACTGTTTTCTTTTCCTGTTGTGTTTCAGATATGGAGCTGTAACCCTCGGAGATAACTTCAGAAATCTGCCTAGCTCTTTCTCTCAGTCAAACGTTTCGTACCTCAGCGGTATTTTTAAGCAGCGCAATGCAAAGGTAAATCTGTCATTGAAGTGTTTATTGTTTCTCTCACTTAACCTATTTACCACTTTGACTTAGCAATTATCTTACCACCGTTGCACTATATATAGGCAGAGCTAAGTAATGAAATGCTACGTCACAGGTGTGCGGTCAATAACGCGGGCTCAAGCGTAAGAGGGAAAAAAATTCAGCGAAATTTTCGGGTAAAAAGGGCTGGCATTTAAACCGCGGCACCTTGTTGTCGTGGAAGGCATTTTCCTATTTCTAGTTAGCTCTCGTCACTCGCTTTATTTCTTTGTTGTTACAGGCCTGGTACAACACTAAGGGTTATCATGCTGCTCCGACATTCCTAAACATACTGAACAATGTGATCCTCAGAGGCAAGGCTCGCGAGAAAGGACTGAATGCGTCACTGTTTGGTACGTTAATGAAAGTGAACTATTGCGTTACTTTTCATGTCACGCGTGACTGGTGTTACTTTAAGCGCTTTTGATCGAGTGTCTGAATTTTCAAAACCACTGTAACTGCATCAGCCAATCAGACCAGAGGTGAACTTTGCAGGGAGCCAATGAGAACTTAGAGTAAATGAGTGCAAAAGGCCTGAAACGCGGAAAAACGTGTGAGTTACGGGTGATTGGCTTACGTTTTATTTTTTATCTGATTGGCCGAGGGGAAGATGCAAGTTTTCCAAACCTTTTTGAAAAAAGAAAATTTAACGGCAAAACCAATGCAATATCAGACTACCTTTTCGCACTCAATTTGGTAATCGAAATCGACAATATAATATTGTAAACTTAGCTTTGTTTGTCGACTGGAGATGTATTCCATAAGATATAAGTATGTTGCTTTTAATGTTGTTTTGTGGGTTTTTCATCAGGTATTAACACCTTTAATCACCCTATGAACTACACCAAGGAACAGCTGAGCGAGGAAAATCTGTAAGTTAGGCCCTGGAGCCGAGTTTGTATTTTGGAAATGACAAGGAAATCAAACCACCAAGTAGAAGACTGGTCAAAGGCGCGATCTCTACACTTAGGGATATGTCACCTTTTTTCAGGAAAAGGAGGGGTGGGGGTGAGGGGTGGGCTGATGCATTTTTATCTTCCTCTACATAATTTCCCGTGGCCCTGTTCTTGTCACACTGCATAAAGTCATGTGCCCCCTCCCCCCTCCCCCCTCCCTGTGAGTGGCTTGTCGTTGGTCCTTACTTTTTTCTGTTGTAGAAAGGAAAATGAACTGCACAAGAAAACGTGACCGACCGCTGAGAAATAGTTGCAGCTCAACAGTTCATGACCCCCTCCCCATTTACACCAGCCACCCTTCCCCTATTACAAGTGACAGGTCCTTTGTTCAATAACTTGATGGACTTTTTCTCGTTTACTCATTCGGCCTAAATTTTTCATCTTTTATTGCTGTAATTTCTTTATTCAATCCTTAGTCACCTTTTTGTCTTTTTCGTTTATCATCACCTTTTTTGTGCTTCTCTATCTGCGCAAGCCAATCTTTTATAGACTTCTTTGCACCGAAAGAAGATTTACCTTTTCCATAAGCTGCCACTTGCCACTTTAAATAGTCAGTTCTTTCAATAGAAGCCTATTGCCTAAAAGTTCGAAAGATTTAGGATGAAGACCACTCAAATTTGTTGCAGTGCTGCATTGATGCCTCTTTGTTTCATTCTTTTTAAGTTTCAACCGTATTGTTGACGTGCTTGTGGCCATCTGTGTGGTGTTCGCCTTGTCGTTCGTTCCCGCCAGCTTTGTTGTCTACCTAGTCAACGAGCGAGCCTGCAAAGCCAAGCATCTGCACCTGGTCAGCGGTGTGCGCCCGTTCATCTACTGGCTCGCTTCGTACGTCTGGGACTTGGTGAGTAGGGGCTGAAAGGTGGATATAAATACAGATCCTCGTACACGACACCACAGAGAAAAGTTTCCCTTCCTTCCTTCCTTTCTCCCAGCACTGTTTTTTTTTTCGTCTTTGCCTTCCTCGACGGTACTGTCATGATTACTAACGTGTCATGTTTGTTTTTACAGTTCAACTACCTTATTCCAGCAGTGTGTTGCATCTTCATTTTCTTGGCCTTTGGTGAAGACTCTTACACTTCATCAAGTAATTTCGCACCGACCTTCCTTCTTCTTATCCTTTACGGGTATGTTGAACTTGAATGTCCTTTTTCAATTACAAGGGAAGGAAAAAATTCACCAAAACTATTACACGGATCAATTTGAACCCAATAATGAATTGCGTTGCATGGAAGTACCAATTGATAGTAATTTTCTTCTCTGAAAAGTCACCCGCCAGGTTTTCATTGTCATACTTGTGCGCTCTGATTAAACACAAAAGGCAAGATTTTTCTTCGCTACTCTGCCCTTAACCCTTTAACCCGTAAGAGTGACCAGGTTCTAATTTTCTCTTTACAATATCACCCCTGAATCACACTTTAAATCCACGAGAATAAAGGATCACTTACTAGAAAGCTCTCGGTTGTGAAACAAATTCTCCTAGCCAGAACTATACAAAATGTATGTAGAACAGTATGGAGAACATTCATACTGATATTGGGGTGTAAAGGGTTAGGCGTTTATGCGTTCCCTTATAAATTTGTATATTGAATTTAGTGTTTTACGGAGGTAACGCCTTTATACTGATGAGTTGACTATTCTCATCATTTGTCTCTTTGAATTATGGGTTATGTCACATGGTAATCACGTGATATTGTTCTGGTTCTTTCCAACCTCACAGATGGGCCATCACACCTCTCATGTACCCGGCGTCTTTTCTATTCAAGGAGTCAAGCACAGCTTACATCGTTTTGATTTGTGTCAACATATTTATTGGAATCAACACTACTCTGGCTACATTCATCTTGGAGTTCTTTGTTGACGATAAGGTGAGGGATTGAAACGAATATAGATCTTAAGATTTTAAACTCGGAAATGCCTGAAAACTATTTCCGAGTTGTTGCACCATTGTTTTCGCTGGGGTTCTTGTATTATTACTCTCATTTAACTGTTGCGTTCTTGGTTTATAAATGTAGGAGCTCATTGCGGTTGTCGAGATGCTGAAGAAAATTTTCCTAATTTTTCCAAATTTCTGTCTGGGCCGAGGATTAATCGATCTAGCTAGAAATCAGTTTATGGATGTATTTGAGAGGTTTGGTGAGTATCTTGTTTGTTGTTTGTATTTTCTTTACGAACAGTGGTATGAAGCAATGTAACCCATCCCTCTCACACTTCCCCTCTCCCCCGAACATAAACGGCGATTTTTTTTCCTCTTCTTTCCCTTCCCCCCACCTTTTTTTTCATCAGTACAATTTCGGATGATTATGCCCATTTCAGAGAACGAACAGTTATCTTGTGTGACGTTTAGTTAACTATAGATTTTATAAGGAACCACGGTAGCCTTTTTATTCGTTTCACCCTCAGGATTTGAAAACTAACTCTCCTTTCCATCAGTAAAACAAACAAAAAATCTTCGTTTTGTTGTGTGCGTAGGGACACACCATGACACAAATATTGTTCTACTTTATATTTATTGCTTTGTTTTTATTTTCCTTTTAGGGCAAAATTTGGTTCGAGATCCATTCAGCTGGGACATCACTGGCCGAAACATTATGATGTTGATCATTCAAGGCTTTGTGTTCTTTTTCTTCACTGTCTTGATCGAATATCGCTTCTTCCTGCCGAAAAGGTTTGCTAGTTGTCTTTCCTTGTGATACTTTCGCAGTGTACTTTATGAAGTATGGAGTTGCTGCGATTACAGGGCAACTGCCGCTGATTACCATACAAGCGGGTCACATTTGTTCCTGGAAACCTGCAATGAGTGGCTAAAGCCTAGGCCAACTCTACTACTTTTCAATCTTTTCCCATAATTTTAATTTATCTCCTCCCCTCCCCCATTTCAATG